TATTTATTTATTTATTATGTATACAATGTTCTGTCTCTGTGTATGCCTGAAGGCCAGAAGAGGGCAGGTGTTTGTGAGCCACCACGTGGCTGCTGGGAATTGAACTCAGGACCTTTGGAAGAGCAGGCAATGCTCTTAACCACTGAGCCATCTCTCCAGTCCCTCGTGTGATATTTTAAACCTTGAAGAGGGACAGCTGAGATAGTTCCCTTTCCAGGGTTGCTATGGGAATGGTTGGTGGGGTCCAAAGGCGACCATGAAATAGAGGTCTGCTCACAATGGCCTCCAAGACTCTTACTAATCCCAATCTATAATTGTAAAACCCACTACCCTATCAAGAGCTGAGATTCTAAATCATTTAGGAGGTTGACTGAAATTGGGGTTTATAGTCTCTATCCTTTTTGGCTTTTAGGCTTTGGAGCAATAAAGGGTGTTGGAGATCAGCTTCAACAAAAATACCATTTACCAGGATAGGGCATGGGAATTAGAGAATTAATAAAGAAGACGAAGAAGATACGAGTGAAAATAATAAAACAGAAAACATAGGATAGTACTGGGAGGGAGTTCCAGAGAATACTGAAATTGCCTGCATTTAATTTCTATTTGCTTAAAATACCCCAACCCCAAAGAGTAGGAGTAAGATAAAAAACTGCATTAACATGATACAAGGAAATGAACTTACCAATTGAAGGTTACGTTCTAAGTTAAACATTCTGTTGCTAGAACAAAACAGGTCACACACCCTAGACCAAATCATTCGGTGGGCAAACCACTCCCTGGGTGGAGTCCATTGTTGTCTCCTTTAGGGAGTAGGAACTTAGTAGGATCCTTAGATTTTTGTTTGAGGTAGAAACATATCTACTTCTCTATTCCTGAAATACAAGATCTGGATACTTGCCACACTTGTTGACAATAACTTTGAGAGAGCAGAACTCTCTGTCTAAATCTAGGTGGGACCTTTGTTTGAGGTAGAAACACAATAACCTTGAAGGAACGGAGGTAAGTTCCAAGTCTCTGACCTTCAGACAAGGTGGAAACAGGCTCACTTGTTTGGGCCACTACAAAGGGGAACCAGAAGTAAGGCATTAGATCATAGGTGACCATCTGAGTATAGATGAAGTGTAAATGAGAGGAGATAAATTAAGACAGCAGTTGACTACACAGGCCCCCAAATCAATTATATCTTTACTGAGATTATAATAGATATAACCCATTTGCACCATGAAAGCCCCAAGATCCAACCCAAAGCTGTTGATCAAAGGGATGGTGGTGCCTGGGCTGGAGTTCTGGTCACAGCTTCATGAACAGCTTCCAGGGAGCTGTGTAAAAGAAGAAAGATAACAAGAACCAGACTAAAAACTGGAGTGCCCCCCCCCCTGCTCCAACTCTTGTGACATTTAAGGCAGAAACCAGTTTCCTTTGGCATTCCTCTGGCTAAGGACAAAAGTCACACCACTATTGTGGAGGCGTGTGCCATAAACTCCCTGCCCAACCTCTGTCTCCTGTTCTCCTGGCTCCTGTCTACAGGCTCCTGGATGGAAGCGGCATTGATATCAGATGTGAAGGGGTGTCCTAGGGAAGGGATAGGCAGCTCTAGCTGTCCAGATCAGCTGCTGAATCCTGCTGCAGACCAGAGCCTGGCACACCTGTTGTGCACCAGCGTGGAGAGTGAAAAAGCAAAGCATACATAAAAGCCTTCAATTTTATTTCTTAAATTTTTATTTTGTATGGTATTAGGGGTTGGGGTGTAGCTTTGTGGCAGAATGCCTGGCATACAAAAAGCTTGGGGTTCAAGCTTTAGCACCCCTCTTCCCTCCACACACAGAAACACACACACAGACACAAACACGTTAGATAACCATTTTGCCACTCTATCCCCAGCCCTCAGTAATAATTGCGTGCACGCGTGTGTGTATGTGTGTGTGTGTGTGTGTGTGTTATGGGGATAGGAAGCCTGGTAAGTCTCCCCCTGTGACTGTCTAGAGCTACTGAGGGCCTCATATCTGTGCCTGTCCTTTTGGATTGCCTTTTCCCTTTGAGGTCTCCAACCTCAGGACTGGAGGATTCTGTGGACTGTCCCCACAAAGGGCTTTCTTCAACTTTTTGACACAATCTGTTTGCATTTTTTAAAAATATTTGTTTATTATGTATACAATATTCTGTCTGTGTGTATGCCTGATGGCCAGAAGAGGGCACCAGACCCCATTACAGATGGTTGTGAGCCACCATATGGTTGCTGGGAATTGAACTCAGGACCTTGGGAAGAGCAGGCAATGCTCTTAACCTCTGAGCCATCTCTCCAGCCCCCTCGTTTGCATTTTTTTATAATGCCTGTGGGTGTCTAATTTAAAGCTTCCAGACTGCAGGGTTAGAGAACATCTCTCTTTTATATTACAGACCTTCCTGCTACCCTTAGGGCATTACATGTGTGGTGAGATGGACATAGAGGATGGGCTCCTGATTTGCTTGGAGCAGCTACTACAGTCATGTTACCTGGAGTACACAATGGTTTAGGACTACAATCACATGACCTGGAGTACCCAATAGTTGTTTAGGATTTATCCTGTTTTTGCATCTTCCCCAGCTGCAGTGAGGATGAGTCAACTCAGGCCACTCTGGCCTTGTGGGCAGAACTCCTGGATCAGTAAGGGCCTCTGTTGGTGCAGGTTTCCCCATCTGTGTTCTGAGACCCCCCCTCCCCACACCCATTCTGTTGATCAGTCTCCTCTGTGAATGTGTTGTTGTCCATTGAAGCACCAAGGTTACCCAGGGAGGAGGAGCTGCTATGGAGACTACCCAATGGAAATATTCCTTCCCATCAAGGTTCCTATACAAATCTTTAACATCTAAACCCCAGGAAAGAGATCATTCAGACACTGCCACACGGTGGATGGGACAGAAGGGACTGTGTTTATGATTTTGTCCTCAGTTACCTGACACCAGTCTCCAGGGGAATTAGCAGAAGGCGACTCAAATTTCAGAGGACATATTTCTGTCTGAGGTCGAGCTGTCTTCTCTCTCCAAGGACCTGTACCACATCCTTCCACAAATAAGTGTCTCAGCCTTATTATGGAATGACCTACATGGAAAGTATAGCTTCTCGGGGAAGCACAGAGACCAGGACAGCATCTCAGGGGCAGGTGAGGCTCCTGGGAAGTGACCAGGGTGCACGGCTTCAGGAGCCAGGTTACTAGCGCCTCTGCTGAGTTCCCTCTAGGACTCTTTCTCCTCACTCTTATCTTCCCTTACACATCCTGCAGTTTCTTTGATAGTCAAGACAGCAGTGTACAAGAACTGGGTACCCTGATACCTCCCATTATCTTTGTACTGGGCAGCCACCCATAAACTCAATGAGGCAGGTCACCTCTCCCCTCTCGTCCTCCTGGAGCTCTACCTCCAGCCCTGTACACCTCACTCTTCAATGTGGTAATGGACTCATTTAGTCATTTCCAAGCTCAAGGTGAGAAGGCCTGAAGATATTCCATATTCCTCACTGAGTTCTCCGTATATTCTCCTGATGTCGGATTCCTCTCTGTGTGCTATGAATATGATTTATTACCATTGGTTATTAAAGAAGCTACTTTGGCCAATAGCATAGTAGAGTAAAGCCAGGCAGGAAATCTGAATAGAGATATATATAGAGAGTAGGCGGAGTAAAAAGATGCCATGTAGCTGCCCAAGAAGTAAGAGGTAGCAAACCAAGAGCCTTGTTAATTTAAGATATAAGAGCTAGCTAGAAATATGCCTGAGTTGTTGGCTGAGCAGGGTTGTAATTAATATAGTTTCTGAGTGATTATTTGGGTCTGAGTGGTCTCTGTGTACATTCTCCCTAACTATGGATTCCTATATTGGGGATTTCTCATCCAAAGGGAGATGGTTGGGGGAATAAAAGGTCATTAAGTACCTTGTATTACACTGATGGAGGTGGGTCTTGTAATAATAAAGAAACTGTCTCGGCCCTCATAGGACAGAAAATTAGGTAGGCGGAGTAGACAGAAGAGAATGCTGGGAAAAAGAAGCTTAGTGGAAGAGTAGCCATGATTCTCCCGCTCCAGACAGACGCAGGTTAAGATCCTCCCTGGTAAGCCAGCTTGTGGGCTACATAGAATATTAGAAATGGGTTAGAACAATATGTAAGAGCTAGCCAATAAGAAGCTGGAACTAGCCGGGCCAGGCAGTGTTTGAAAGAATACAGTTTCCGTGTAATTATTTCGGGCATAAGCTAGCCATGCGGGCGGCCGGGTGCCGGGGACGCAGCCCCGCCGCTCCTAATTCAACATTACACTGGACCAAAGTTCTCCATAAATTAAAACAGAATCAGATGCTATCAGGCTCATCTAATGCCCAGGCCGTGGAGTCTTCCAAGACCCAGCCAGGAGACCGAGGCCTGTACATAAAAGGGAAGAGTTTTTATTCTTGTTCAGGTTCAAACTTGGACTCTCCATGTGTCTAAGGCATTGGCACAATCAGAGAGCTCAGTTGGGGTGAGTTTTTTTTTTTATATATATAATAGAGATTGGGGTGAGGGATTTCTAAGGTTCAGAACCCCTGATTGGCTGACATCTGTCTAGGAGTGTCTTGGTGAAGGGGTGTGGGTTTGCTGGGCTAAGGGACGTCAGGTGATCCTATTGGAACCTTAGGAATTTCCTTTGGATGGGCTGTTCCTGGGTGGTGCCTGGGTGGGTTCAGTTTGTGGTCTTTCTTGGAACCTTAGGGAAAACTACTAAGACTTGGGCCTACTTTCCAGTTGGTCTCTATGAAGCCTGTCTTGGTGATTTTTCATGTTTTCTTTAACCCCCTTGCATTAGCCATTGAGGGATGACGTGTTTTGCTTTTAGTATCTTTTTTTTTTGTTGTTTTTATGTGTCTTTTATGTTTATAGAGTCTCTATGTGTGGTTCATAATGGCCCTGAACTTGCTCTGTAGTACAAGCTAGCCTCCAATTTACAGCCCTCCTGCCTCAGCTTCAACTGGGATTACAGGTATGTGCACCAGTCCCCACCTCAGGTGAGCCAATGCTTGAGAACTATTAGGCTGGATCATTCTGTTGCAGTAAAGGTTGGCTCTTAGTGATCTCAGAGGCCGGTCTTCACTTCACGCTCAGCTGTGTGTAACACCACCAACACCTGGCAAAGCACCAACTTCCTTAATGAGTGCTGGCATTGTGCAAAGTATAGTAAGTGTTCTGTTTACTGTTAGAAGGAGGCTCGGGAAACTTAGGGCCTAGGTTTCTGTTTACATCTCAGACACCAACTGTCAACAACCACAGGAAGGCCGTTCCCTTTCTCTGGGACCTGAAAAGAGGGGCGGGGAAATAAACGGAAACACATTCCAAAGACGTTTCAAATGCCAGCTATTAGGGAGACCAGGGCTGTGGGTTCTGGGCTTAGGGCTGTCACTAAGGTGAGAGGTGATGTGGGGCCTCTAGTCAGACCTCCATTTCTTATCTGCAGAGATTGGCCTGGATGACCTCAAATGACCTCACTGGCAACGGGAAGGTCAGAGATTTCAATCCTGCCATTTGCCTGTCAGGGGGGGTGGGGGGTGTTCGGCTTTGTTCTTAAATTCTACTGAGGTCTGGTTCTATTCTTCACTTGGAGCAAGTAGGGAGAAAAAAAGCAAGAGTCACAGAATACAAAACAAGGCCAAATGCAAACAAACCAGCAAACAAACAACAACAACAACAACAAAACCCAGGCCACACGTGGAGGAGCCTTGCTAAGGACTGTGCCTTCCTGTCCACCTTGACTAAAGGTCAGAGAGTTCAGACCTATTCTTGCTTCTTCAAGGTTTGACTTAAGGTGTGGCTACTAACAGATTGTTTTGACGTAGGGTGTGTGTGTGTGTGTGTGTTTGACCTAGGCTGTGGTTTTGGGTATTAAGAAGGTTGGTTTGTTTGTTCCTTGTACCGTGGTAAAGAAGTCTTTTGCTTTCCCCCTCCTTTTTGGAGTGGAGTATATAAGGGCTGCTAGAAATAACTGCAAGGTGAATCGCAGTATTTACTAGATGCCCTCCGACTCTATCTGTTGTCTCTTGTTTTTTTTCATTCTTGATCCACACTCTTCCCCGCAAGCACTGACGAATATGTCGGACGGGTGGGACCTGGCAGAGTGACATTCAGAACGTGACTGAAGGCTGGAGTGCGAGGCATCTCTGAGAAGATGCCAGATGCCAGGCCAGGTGTATTGAGGATAAAACAGACACAGGCTTGTCACAAAGACCAACAGTACAAATGCAAGGTCACTATCTTGACCATCGGGACGAGCAGGCACTTTACGTTTAAATAACGATTTGCTGGCTCCTCTAAGATGCTTCTTTTGCCCTCTCTTCTGTCTGTTAACCTTTGTTTCTTTTCCTCCCTACCATCATCTGATTTGTGCTTGCCAGCTTGGGACAGTGCAGAGAACCGCAGTTCCTGTGAAACCCAGGAACACTAAACACAATAGCTGTAATGGTTTAAGTAAAATGCTGCAGGTCCCCGAGTAGTGGCAGTGGGCAGTGGGCCATGAGACCATGCCGCAGGTCCCTGAGTGGTGGCAGGGACAGTGGGTCCCAAGATCACGGCAGGCCATGAAGGCAGCCAGGTCCCAGGCAGGAAGCCACAAGGCATAAAGACTGAGAGACGGAGATGGATAGGTGCACCACGCAGAGTGAAGTTGGATATTTATTTAGTTGGTTATGGAAGGGAAGGGGAGAAGGGGGAAGAGCAGATAGTGAGGCTGGAGGGGGTGGGAGGAGGAGAGAAGTGGGGAGAAGGGAGAGACAGAAGCTGCCGAGAGAGAGAGAGAGAGAGAGAGAGAGAGAGAGAGAGAGAGAGAGGGGGGCGTGATGGGGGAGAAGGAACTCAGACTGGAAGCTGAAGATCAGCTTTGGATGAGGGAGGGAGCGGGTATGGGTTGTCTCTTAAAGGGACAGGACAGACATCTCAATAGCTCTCCAGTCAATTCCTGTTAGCAGGAAAACCCTGGAGACTGGAAGGGTCATGTGGGTCAGGCAACTGTTGCTGATGGGAATGAAATGATCAATTTCTCCCTAAAGAAAGAGGTTCGTGCGGCGGTGGCACACGCCTTTAATCTCAGCACTTGGGAGGCAGAGGCAGGCAGATGGATCTCTGTGAGTTGGAGACCAGCCTGGTCTACAAGAGCTAGTTCCAGGACAGGCTTCAAAACCACCAAAGAGGTTCAGCCTGTCTAGGAGCCAGGTTAGATGCGCTGTGCAATAATTGGAGGCCTGAGACTCATCATTAGGACAGGAGAAAGAGAATGAGCCAGGACCCAAGTCACTCGGGATCCTGGAAAAGACACTTCCAGGACTTCCTGTCACTGCTCTTTTGTGCTCAACATGTGGCTTTAGGAAGTAACCGTGCTTCTTGGAACTTCTGTGTCTTCAACTGGAGCGTGGCTCTATGCCTGTTTTATCCAGCTCACCAGGCTATCCTAAACATAAAATGAGTCGATGTTTGTACATCAATTCTATCCTGAACACACCTAGTGCTTAGGGGCTGTCCCTCTTTCCAGGGGAGCTCATTTCTTGGTTCACTGGGGGAAAGAAAAAGGAAGATTGGCAAATGTCCAACACCCGATTAGCCAGGAGAACTGAATCATTGATTTCCTTGTGCAAATAGCACACGTCCTTCCAGTGACCCCAAACAGGCTTTCAAGCCGCTGCTCTGGTGTGATGTACTTTATTTAAACTTAACCCAGTCGTTTCCACGATCTCACGAGGAAGCTCTTTTCTCCTACAGCCAGAGGAAGAAATCAAAGCTTGGATGAGTCGACTAAGTCATGCATGAATTCACACGGGGATTTGAACTTGAATCTGTGTGACTTTGTGGGTATCGTTCAGTTTCCATGGTAGGGCGCTTTTTACCTTTGATGGGAGAAATGACTATATGCCCTGGAGACATGAGAGAAGGAATGGGGGTCTCTGGAAAAATTACCTGAGTACCATTCTGTGGAGACACCTGGGGCCCAAGAGTGGCCAGTTCTCCATTTCTCCTCCAGCGTCACCAAGGATGCCCCAAGGATGTGAGTTCACAGCTCACTGAATACATAGGCTAGGAGGCCACTACAGATGGAAGCCTGATTGGGTTACAGACTGAAAGCGGGGCAGGGGTGAGGGTGGGGGAGGGGCCAGTTTCAGTTTACCCCTCCTTCTCAGTGTAGGGTTATCCCCTCCCCAAGGCCTGTTTGTTGATGTTCCTGGGACTTCGGGCGGGGAAGTATACAGTGGATTTAGCCAATCGAGAAAGGCCATTCTCTAATCAGGTCATTTAGTCTAATCCAGGTGGTCAAGTCCTTTGTGTGGGTTTCGGTTTGCTTTGTAGCAGCGGGGCCGACCTCAAGCTGGGCTGGGAAGCCTGGCCCTTTGATCTGAACAAACCTAGCCGCCAGCTCCAGGAGAGTTCCGTCCTGCTGGCAGGCCTCCAGAAGGGGGCGTTGCTGACCTATTTGTTTGGATTTGATAGACTTTGGGTAGTCCTAGGTTTCAAAACAAGCATGTCCCATTACCTAGCAAATTCCAGGAAGCCTTTGCTGATGGATTTTTTTTTGGGGGGCAGAAGGGGTGTGAAGAAGTACAAAAGATTTCTGGAGCTGTTGAAAAAAGCCCCGTGAAATGAAAAGGTGAATGCAGTGAGACTATTAGATCTTTATTCGAGTCATTTGCGCTTTCTTCTGCTAACCGTGCTAGAATGAAAAAGAAAGGCTTACAGCTACATTCATAAAGGAAACGAAACCTTTAATGTGCCAACAACAACAACAACAACAAAAACCCAAAACTGAATGAAACATATTAAGAAAAACTAAAGATTGACAATAAGAAAAGTAACAAAGAAAATCAGGAAGACGATCTGGACAATTGTAACACAAATCCAAAAGGTTTTTAAGTCCACAAATGTGCATCCTTACTGGTGATCAGGGAAGTTAAATGAAAGGAAAGTATGTGGGGCGGTGGTGGCGCACGCCTTTAATCCCAGCACTCGGGAGGCAGAGGCAGGCTGATCTCTGTGAGTTCGAGACCAGCCTGGTCTACAAGAGCTAGTTCCAGGACAGGCTCCAAAACCACAGAGAAACCCTGTCTCAAAAAACAAACAAACAAACAAACAAAAAGAAGTAAGATTCCTTTATAAACCCCTAAGATTGGTGAAAACCAAAAGATTTGCTAAAGAATCGGAGAAGATAGAGGGCTGGAAACACAAGGTGTTTGTGGTAATGAGTTAGGAACTGCTTCCCAAGCAGATGTGCAAGTACCTTCCACTTGAGAGACTCTCTCTTATTTTTTTATTTAATTTTTTATTAGGTATACAGTGTTCTGCCTGCATGTATGGTTGCACACCAGAAGTGGGCACCAGCTCTCATTAGGGAGCCACCATATGGTTGCTGGGGATTGAACTCAGGACCTCTGGAAGAGCAGCTCTAAGAGACTCTTTTAGGCTGGATGTGGCGGTGTTTGCCTTTAGAGATAGCAGAGGCAGAGGCAGGCAGATCTCTGAGTTTGAGGCCAACCTGGTCTACAAAGGAAAGCTTCTCTTACTTGCTCCCAAGGCTAGTGAGAAGAAAATACTGTAAAACAAACCCTAAAACAACCTAGATGAACACCCAGAAAAATAATCAGCTGAACTGTAGGATAACATAAAGCTCGGGGAGAAAGCAATCCCCGCCTAAAAGACTGAAGAGGTCCATTAATAGTCACTTTGAAAAGAGTTATTTTTATTTTATGTGTAGGTATTTTGACTGTTTATATGTATGTGTGCCATGAGCATGCAGTATCTGGGGAGACAAGAAGCAGGCATCAGATCTTGTAGAGCTGGGCAGACAGTTGTGAGCTTCCCTGGTAGTGCTGGGAAATGAACCTCTGGAAGAGCAGCCAGTGTTCCTAACTGCTGACTTGCCATTTCTCTAGTCCCTCACTCTGGTTTTTGTTTTGGTTTCTCTGTAGCTTTGGAGCCTGTCCTGGAAACTAACTCTTGTAGACTAGGCCGGCCTCGAACTCCCCACCCTGCCTGCCTCTGCCTCCCGAGTGCTGGGATTAAAGGTAAGGTATGTGCTTCTACCACCACTGCCTGGTTTAGCCTTGAATTTCTGTTCTTCTTTAGCCAGGACTACAGACCTGCCCCACCAGGCCTGATTAAAGTCATTTGTTAAGGGTTGAGACACTTGTTGAAGGGACCTGACATTTGATGGCACTGTCTGCCTTGAGTGGATCTGGCATTGGGAAGTACAAAGGGGGGCGGGGAGGTAGGGAGCAGGAAAACAAGACGGGTGGTGGACAGGAAGGAATGCAGCCCCCAGTTAGGCATGCCCGCTAGAACCCACACCCTGGCCAGCCTCCTCAGACATTAGGATGGCTGATAACCAGCTGCTACCTCCTGTGTCTGTCCTGGAATTCTTATTACACGTCTGGAGTCTGGCTCAGGCCAGTGAGGACGTTGCAGACAGCAGGTGCAGCCTTGCCCATGGGACCCACGCAGGGAAACCTCCCTCTAGATCTCCACTTTGGACAACCTCCCAGCTCTCTCTCTCGGCCAGGGCCTTGTCCTCAGTTGCCTTCCAGAGCTGAAATGAGCCCTGAACTGTGTTTGTCCCCTCCCTCCCCCTAGAAAAGTGGCTACTGACTTTGCCACCGATTGTCACTGCTCCCTCCCTCCAATCAAGCAGTCATAAAGCAATAAACAAATATGGGAAAGAAGAGACCTGGACCAAGGCTGCAACAAGCCAGTCCTAGCAGGTTTGGTGCTACAGTTTCAGACAAAG